CATGGCTTTTTTAATCTCTTTCCCTAAATGAAAGTGTTGAAGCATTGAAACAATGCTTCAGCTCCTGTGCCCTGAGATACACTGCTCTTGAGCTGTGAGTTCTCCCTACCTTGGTCAGCCAGGGTAAATGGATCTCCATGTATCTCTAGCTGGGGATATGCCAGTCCTGAAATGTCACATTTGATTAATAAATGACTTCAGGAAAGGATGGCAAGAACGAGTCGAAGTCTGGCAAGGTTAAAGAAAGATGAGAGGTGGCCCATCAGAGTGAAAGTGGACAAGTAAAAGGGATCATGGTCTACAAATAGCTAAACCAGAGTAATTTCTGGCAGGGGAGATGGCTCTTCAGAGCAACAGGAAAAGGCATAACAAGATTCAGTGCTTTCAAGTGGCAACAAAGTTCACTTGGATTTAGAGACCTATTGAATTCCTCATTACTTGCAGCCTTTAAATCAAGACAGGATCATTTTGTAAACCTGGATATGCGGACTTGATGCAGATATCCTTAGCCAGCTTCTTTCTCAAGTTTTATACAGGAGACAATTATTTTTTTCTGCTCCTAAATGTGTGTTATAAAATCAAGGTCATTCCACAGGACAGGAGGTTGCTGGGTTTTCTTTTCTTTGTAAATCTCTCATCCCCTTCCATGGTTAGGGCTCTGTTTTCTGTGAGCTGTAGTCCCTTAGTAGGGAAATAACTTGTGTTTTCCACTGATCCTGTGTAGTCAGACTGATTCTGCATGACTTGGCCAAGGGAATCATGTCCTGCTGGAATGGAGACCAAATTACGGTATCTTGGCTATGGAAATTTTCCTCATGTGTCTTTGTCACCTTCCACAAGTGGAACTGCAGAGTTTTGAGAATGAAGTGGCTAGAGATGGAGTGGGAGGGGAGGATGTGAATTTCATACTGATGTGTATGCTCTAAGAAACAAAATGATCTCTTTATTATGAAAAACACCACAATATCACAAGTTACAGCAAAGCCCTCTTTTGGAAGGCTGGTGGTGCTGAGCAAGTTACATGCTGCAGGCAACCTCAGACTTCACTCTCCCCATCAGCCAAGCAAAACAGAGGCTGAGAAGCAACAGCAAAGTGTCTTGTGATCAAAGCTGTTGGTCAGACTCCTGCATTCAGTGCTGCTGAGAGGAGTGCAGACCAGGCAGAGCTTCCTCCCCTCAGCACCAGCCATCAGGAGTGTTAGGAAGCTAAGAAGTGTAGCTCAGCTCCCCACTGCTTGAGCCACCCATGGACTGGATAGTGCCTGCATCTGCCACCAACATCTGCAGGAGCTTGTTTACTTTGTCCTGACCTAGGTATAAACTGAGCAACACAAGACAGTTGGACAGGTTCTTACTTCAGTTTCCTTATGTATTTGTTTTTCTTTCCTCTTTGCAGTATGTGGTCATTCCAACACGCCGTGCAACCGCAGTGGCCTTGCAGAGTTTCACTTCACACCTCCTGGGAGATGCTGGCAGTCCTTATCTGATTGGATTTGTAAGTGCTCACAGCAGGTTCTGGCAGGGTTGTTTGCCCATGTTTGGTTTTGTTTACTAACTGCTTATCTAAAATGCCAAGTTAAACCCTGCCGGGGAAGGCAGGCCTGTGTTTACCAGCACAATGGGAAGTGGTGCAGTGAAGTGCAACTTTTATACATGTTTGTGTTGTTGATGGACTACAGTTTAAACCTGGAAGGACCACATAGGCACAAGAAGTGAGCTTCTAAATTTTTTTAGCCTAGGACATTTGTAAAGGTTATAGACAGCTCTGCAAAGGGAGAGTGGTTGCTTCTGTGGTGTGGACAGAGGTCCATTAGAAATCAGATTGAAACACTCTCATGTGTGTATGTGTGTGTTTAACTCTTTCATCTGGTCTCATAAGCCAAATATCTGTTTATGGGTAGCAATATGCAGCTGATCTGACCTGCTGATATTTTGAACATGTTTTGTATGATAAGAAATGATGGTGTAAATCCATGTCAGGGTGGGTGTGTATATTTTGGGTTATTAGAATCCCTTTCTGGCATGTATGTTTTGGATTTGTATTAGTAGTATGCCTTTCCATAATTGCTGCAGTTGTTGGCCTTGGTTTGACTGGAGATCTGTCTTTTGGTGCCACCATTATCCCAGTGCAGAGCAAAACAAAAGACCCTGCTCAAAAAGCTGGCAATCAGAAAACATTCAGAGTTGGAAATATAAGGCTTGGGAAATTTAACAAGGAAAAGAAGTCTAAATGTACTGGGATAATTTCCTTCTCTTGCACCCTTCTGTGGAGTTCAATGCATCGAGTTTCAGAGAACATAGATCATCATTTATAAAATGTAGTAGCTTACATGTAAACCATAAGTGGTGCTGCTCCTGTTGTGCTGAAGGTGCTACAGTTTTCCAGTGGTGTAACTGGGATCTTCACTACTCCCATCACCTGGGAGACAGAACTTTGATGTGCTCTTCCAGCTCAGAACTGCTGTGACACAGCTGCTGGGGGATCTGGACCTATTTTTAAACAAGACCCCCCATTATTTCTTATCTATTCATCCCTTAGATGCTGGTGTGTGTATTTACACATAATTAGTTTTATATATTTATTTTTTTATATATATTTTTAAATATACATATTTACTCTCGAATGGCAACTCCCAAAAGTGATACAGTTGTTCTGTAGCCCTCTGAAGTGTACATGAAGAGACAGACACAGATAAGGCTGAATGGACCAAAGAAATGAGAACAGTTTTAAGAGAATCAATATGTACAGTTTGGCTTACTCTTTATTTACCTCAATGTTCTGGGTACCCAGGGAGAAAAGATCTCATTTTAGAAATTACTTGAAAGTGGCAAGAACAAAGGAACCAGTGGAAGAGATGGCTTTGTGCAGGGCAGGGGACATGGGGAATGGCACATGGGGGAATGAAATGAGCAGGGCAGCATGCTCGGAAGGTGGGTGCCAGTGGTGAGAGATAGGTCTGAGGTGCCTCAGGTGACCCCACTACATTTCATTCTTTGTCATCCCTCGTAAAAGGGCCATCTGGGAGGAATGGTGAGGACCCTTAATGATTGCAATTAATCTTGAAAGTTGCCCAGGGGTCTGTAGTGTCACAGATTAAAAATTTTGGTTATAGGAAATGTGCCTTGCCCTTCTGGTATTCAGACGTCAAAAAAGTTGTGAGTTACTTAAGGATGCCTGCCTGAAATATGCTTAACCTCAATTTAATAGCTGCCTTAGGCTTTTTGTTTAGACTGGGAAATATGAATTATGATTTTGTATTACTCTTCTTTAATGTTGTACTTGTTGGGCAGTTCTCATTTGGAAGGAGGCTACTCAAGTACAATCTCTGTGTCAGGAGAGCAGGAGTGAAGTGCTCATGTCACAGAAGGCACCAGCATCCATCTCTGTAGCCTCTGGGCTGGCTGGCCTGACTCACACTCCCAGTGCTACAGTGGCTGAAAGGTCAGCTGCAGCTTTCCACAACACAGAAGAACTAGTATTCAGAGCGAAAGGACAAACACCCAACTTCTCCAGCAGAGCCAAGACAAGCAATCACCTTGGTTGTTAAAACCTGGTGGTGTTTGTCATTGGAATTGCCTGGCTGTTGTGGGATGGAGACCATTATACAGCACTGACAGCTCACTTGGGCAGGCTTCAGCAGCAGCCTGGATTATGACTAGGATTTTCAAGGCAGTTGGTGGGAGGTAAGCAACCTACTCCTGTCAGAAATTTGGGAACCCAGTTCCCATAGTCCTTCTGGGAATCCCCGTCAACTCACATTGCTGTTACTCCAGAGCTAACATGAAGCAGACCAAGAGCAGTGTGTAAATCTTGAGAGAGAGAGGGAGAAGGCAGGATAAATCAGATGAGCTGCAGTAGCAGGCATGCTCCGAACCAGTGAAACCCAGCGCCTGATACCTCAGGGTTCACCTGAGATCCTGAGAATCTGCCAGTTCTTCTGACTGCTTACAAAATCCACCTGAAGCTCCCTCCCTAAATGAGCAGCATTTTGATCATATATGGCTGGAATCTTACCTACTTTTGGTGAGTTCATAGTGAGATTCCCTCTAGCAGTGCTCTTAATAAGGAATCAGACACCCGTGTCCTTGTAGGACTAAGCTGTCGCAGGCAGCGTTCTCTGCTGGATACCAATAAATGCTGTATTGATCTTACAATCCTCATGTAGAAGGTACATAACAGCTGCAGCCTCATGTATGTGAGTGCTCCCTCGCTCTCTGGTGTGCCGCAGAGCTGAAGGTCAGACTCAGGTTTTTCTTTAATCCCCTTAGTTCCAAATCTTGCAGTTCAGATCCTTACAATCACCCAAAGCACCAAATAAGTTAGTGTTTAAAAGCTAAGTGGGAAGAAGCGTGTATATATGGTTATTTTTCATGTCTCTTTAAATATTGATAACTTTTATTATGGTAAAAAGGCTTAAGACTGACTTACAAAGAAGTTCTACAAATGCAGTTTTAGGGTGGCAGCTATAATTTGCATAAGGTTTTACTACTTGCCAAGCACTGAGATCAATTACTATAAATCAGTGCTGCCTATTCATTCACAAATAAGACTAGGCATTGCTGGAGTACTTCATTAGATGAGACAGTTTTATTCCTAGATAACCGTATGTTTTTCAGGACCTTCGTGGTAACCTGCAGAGTTTAAATAATTCACGTTTAATGACTTGGACTGTGATTTCATGCTTTACTCTTGAGATAGTCAGTGAGAAATTTAACCTGTTCAGTGCATTACACCCAGGTATCTTTAGTACTTTTCTGTCTTTGAAAGGTGCCACTATGCAGACATGGTTGCTGAAGCACAGAACAGTTAAGAGAAATACCCCAAATCCTGCCACTCACATTGAGTATCAGATAAAAGTCTTCTAACTGCTCTTCCTGTGCCCCAATACCTAGGCAACATTTCAGGCTTAGAAGAGCTGAGTGGAGGCAGCTAGCAACAGAATGTGAAGTGCAATTAACCCTTCTCAGGCTGTATCACAGCTTCAGCTCTTTGTATTATTAATTCTAGTTATATCTTCGTGGCCTTTCAAATTAAGTAGTTTTAAGAAGTGCCAGTGAGCCTGCACTCATGTGCCTCTGTGCACATGCCCATGTCTTCCCTACTCAGGGTTTACGTTATTCCTGTGTACAAACAGCAGACTCCTTCCACTCACTGATGTACTCTTTTGCTTCAGAAAAGCAAGTGCAGGCAGTGATTTATTTCTTTTGAGGCTGTGCCCTGGTACTCCTCCTTTCCTTCCTTTCCTTCCTCCAAGCCTGTAATTTGTTTCTCATCTGAGCACAGCAGTGCTGTCCTCTTCCATCCTTGCCTTGCTGTGATGAGAAACAGGCACCAGCTCCGGGCTTTGTCCTCCCTACACATGCCAGGGGAATTGCTGTTATGGGCACACACTGCCCTCATCTTTCCTGTGCAACCATCCATCAGGTCCAGGGATTGAAACCTGTCTGTATCTGCTTGTCACCTGGCAACATCAATGTCTAAGGATGGTGTTTTAAAGTGCCAGAGATCAGCTCTCCTCCACCAGCACCTCTTGATGGGCTAAAAGCTACTCCCTGTACTCCACTGCTGGTGGCTCCCAGCTGGCCTGACCTCCCTGGCTGCTGCTGCTTCAGCTTTGCCTGAGGGACATGACCTCCAATTGCTCCTGCCAGGCAGCATCAGGACGGTGTGCCATGGTCTGGCAGCTAGGCTCTGTGTGAGGGGACCCAAACCACACCTCTGGGTGCTGAGGGTCATGCAAATGGCAGCATCCCCTAATCTGGTGGGTCTCCTCTTGGCAGACCCCAGGATTGGATGCTGTGTTGGGGTGCAGTGCCAGGAATGGTGGTTCACCACAGCAGAGCTCACAAGTGTCTCAAGAGGCATCTCCTTTTTGAACAGCCTCCTTTAGAAAAAGAGGTCTGAGCATGAGGGACCTTGCAATTACTTGTGATTAAATTTGAGCTGTTCTGGTTTGAAGAGTTTTGTGATGCTCCCAGTATGACCTGGAAAAAAAAAATGTAAGAATAAGCTTATCTCTTTCTACCCGTCCTTTTTCTCCCTTCCCCAACTTTCTTACGTGAGTAGGTTCATAAACTAGATCTAATGAGCTACTTCAACAGGGAGGATGCTAATGACCTTCCCTTAGCAAGTAGTTAGCAGAACAGTGTTAATTATCACTGGTGCAGAGTATCAAGGAAGGCAGATCAACGTTTGATTAGGGGCAAGTCAAGGAAAACTGGAGTAAATGCAGCAATTAAGATACTTCTATAATGAAAGTTATAACTGAAGGTGTAGGTTTCACACCTTCTTGTCCCAGTTAGACAGCCTTTTTGTGGGTTTGGTTTCAAAGGTGAATACCCATCCAAGAAAATACATATGTGTAGAAAGTAGTTCTATATATAAAGACTTGCCTGCCTGAGGAAGTGGAATTAATGTATTATGGTTTAAAATTCATATTCTATGGTTTAAAATGTTATGGCTACTTCAGTGTAGATCTGTGCTCACAGTGCTTA